ACGAAATGACAGAAAATAAACTTAACTAAGAGGTTACAGCTTCAACAGATGCAATAATAGATAACAACTATACAACAACCGCTTCTGAAAGAAATGCGTCAAAAAGGAGCGCTGAAGAAATAAGAAAAACTTTCGAAAACAATTTTTCTGCGGTAAATTAAAATATCGTTTCATTGTTTAAATAAACCAAAACTTTTCGTGTTGGAAATTTTCCATTCTAGTAGAAGCAACAATTGGTTTATTTGGTGATTAAATAAATGAGTACAATGTCTTCAATTTATGTACATACCTACTAGCTAATACCTGCCTACTTAGCGGTGCACCGTGAGTAGTACAAACACTGTTACATTTTTGATTCAATTAGAGCAACCAAATATTTTAATGAAAGTAATAATAAGGTAAAAAAGTGGTAAGAATAATCAAAATACATATTCACTCGGCAAAATAATAACTCTGCCTCCTTTCGTAAAGTTTGACTATTTTCCCTTTGTTTATTGAACTTTAATAATTTACTTATAAAAATACACCCCATTAATTAAAAATCTTTAAGCTTGGCAATATGTGGTGCGTTTATAATTATGACACGGGATGTATAGTTAACTCTACAAACAAAACCATATCAATAAAACTTTTAAACTTTAAACGAAATTCAGGAAAACTCATCAAAATTTCGATTTTTTTCTTTTAAATATTAAAAAGAAAATTGCATGTCTGTGTAGATGTGTAATTTTTATGTAATAAATGGCAAATTTCAAGTGGCTTAAGATCACCGTTAATTTTGGGTATTGTTTTTTTTTAAGCTGAGCAACCACCCATTTTGTTTTTGAAATACTTAAAAGGAAGTTCGAAATTGTTATGTAATTTTATGCATTTTCTTGAATTTTGTTTAAAGTTTAAAGCTTCTAGTGATATGTGTTTGGTTGTAGAGTTAACTAAAGTTTTATAAATAAGTTATTAAAATTCAATAACCTACGGAAAATGGTCAAAACATGACAAAAAGGGACACTCCTATTTTTGTCTATGAGTGTAAATACATACATACATATAAATAGTCATTGTGTTACATAAGCCCATTCCGTTTCAATTGCTCACTTTGCAGATCCATCAAAATGTCATGCATTTGTTTCTTCGCTTTGAGTTGCAAGTCGGGGTCCAGTTTTACAATTTCGTCAGTGTTATTTGTTTTTGATGCAACATGAAAGGCATTTGTTAAATTTTGTGATGCTTCGATTAAAGCAGAGGCGTTTTCATCCAAATCATTATTAATTTTTGTTCTTCGTTTTCTTGTTGCATGGACCAACTTTCTAGTGCTATTGTTGTTATTGTCATCAAACCGACCACAGTTTTGCGAAGTAACCAGAGGTGGAGTTACAATCTCATCCGATATGATTTTAATTGGTGTTGCATCACTATTAGTGTCTTCTGTAGAGATGTTTTTAGTATCTTGGAGCGACTGGATACTGCTGTTACTTGTAATTGCAAGAGGGGTAATTGTAATGAACTCTGTGTTGTCTTCGATGAGTGAAAAGGATGACTCTGAGTCAAAGCCTGGATCGAAACATTCTGCAGGCTGCAGTTGCTCCCCAGGTTCTACAAGAGAATGAAAATATTAAGCAAATTTTACGTAGCACGCGAATCGACGCTTTGCCCGGATTCACACAATAAAAGTCGTACCTGCAAACTCCACTTATTAAAATTATTCACTGATGGTGTATGCTCATTCACATGTTTTAGGAATTTCAAAGCTTCATAGAACTTCCAGCTGGTCTGTACGTTTTCGTCTCCGCCGGCAGCGCTTCTCTTTGCCTTGTCCATCCTCTGCTTCTCTGAACTGAAATATGACTTGATGTTGCACCACTTGTGCGTAACTTCATCTTTAAATACATATATGTAATATACAAACATATAATATATCTTTTAGTTATTACATGTGAACTTGCTAAAAACTTACCGTATTGAAATGGTACATTTGCTGTGAACGTTGAGTTCATTTCATCCACCAAAGCGAGCCAAAACTGCTGTTTTTTATATTTGTGCTTATATGATGGTAGCATATGATTCCATATATATTCTGCACCGTGGACTTTGTCAATTAAATGGAATACGTAGTTGTCTTGCCACTTTAATTTCATTTTTATTGTTACAAAACTGTTTTACCTCAATTTTAATTTCGTTTATTTGAATTTCGGTAATGAAACGTCAAAACTCAGCTGTTCTTCACACAGAATTTGTCTTTCTCTAACACCTTGCCGAATAGTTTTTGTAATTTGACTTTCGTCAGTTTTTTTGTTTGTATTTCAAATGAAAAATACAGGAAAAAAACGTAGTATCATACGGGCATAAGGTGTATCATTTCTTTTTAAATATAAGTAGTGGGCGATGTGAAATATAAATTTGGCGATCTGCCGACATACGTAAACAAGAGCGTTTTCTGACGCATTTGCGTTATAGCTCAGTTATGCATACTTTGCACTGCACTGCATAGAATGTCGTTTTTACGTAGAAATAACAAACCGACAGACTTCCACATACATACGTAATTCCAAGGCGAATTTAAATAAGGTGGTATCGATTCAACAATTACTTGTATTTTGTTTTTGCTTTTAGCGGGCCATTGCTAAAAATCAGTTATTGTTTCCCAGCGAGAAAAGAGCTTTTAAAGTCAAAGTGCCATACCTGTACAAAAGCGGTAACGCTACGTAAAATGCATCTAGTGAGAGTAACAGGAGAACAGATGCAGAAGTGTACGGGAACAAAAAGGTCATTTGGTTTGTTTACTTGTCATTAGTACAAGACTGATTTGGCTGAAAGATCACTAAATAACTATTAAAATCTATATAATTAATAATAATTGCATATATATTCGAATATTTCGTTATTTACTTCCATTTTTTAACAAATGTAAGGTTATTTGCTTTCACCGCGTTCTGTTTTTTTACACAAATGCAACTCTACCTATCGTTTGACACTTTTCATGAATTTGCCAGAAGAAAAACTCCGGACTAAATCTTGAAACTTCATTCTGGGAACAGTTGCTCAGTTTCTCTCACGACAGTGTTCCCAGATACAGAATTTTTGGCGTACGGGAACGACTTTGGACTAAATCCTGCAAAACCTGAAAATCGTAGACATGCTGGAACGCTCTAATTGAAAATTTAAAGGGGAAAATTTAATGTGTAACGGCCCGGTTAGGTATGGCAGTTAGTAAATTTGCTCCATTCAAAAATAATCAATTGGGGTGTTCACAGTTCGTTCCAAATTGTGTCTGAAAATGTAGACGTCTACATTTTTAGACATCTTTAGCATCAAACTGTGAGCACCCCTCTCTAGCAGTCGTCGCAAAATCGTCTCAAAACTTTGCTGGTGTTGCCAGACATTTATTCTTTGCATGCATTTTTGATATGGCGCCTTTTGATTTTGCTTCTGAAAAATTGTAATTATTTAACTTAATTACCAATTCCTAACAATTGTTATTTCTTTTCCTAGATTTGTTTCTTTTCATCAGAAATTGCGCTTAAATTAAATTCAAATACAGAAAACGTGCCCAATAAAAAAAAAAATGTGTTTAGTATTGCCATAATGCAACCCTGCTGCGAGGTTGCAAAATGTAGACGCGTAAAAAACATACCTTTGAGTGTGACGAAATGTAGACAGCGTCGTTTTCCAATTTTGTATGGGAAACAACAACACCACAGATTTTACGGTTAGAAAACGTCTTAAAATGTAGACGTCTACATTTTGAGACACTATTTGGAACGAACTGTGAACACCCCAAATACATCATTGCTAGGGCCCAATAATCAGCGTTTATACCGCTGAGTTAAGAAAATGTCATATAACAGCGCTTTCACATTATTCGTTATGATGTCGGATCGACATTTACGGTTTTTACCGAAAGTTTACCGACCACATGTATTTCAATTGGCACTTTAATATCGGTATACCGCACTGCAGTTATTAAAAAAATAAATTATTTATTTACATATTTGTTGACTCGACTTTCGACAACACACAGTTGAGTAATTCAGTCATATCGGTGTAACTAAACCATATTTAGGCTGTGTGCGAGTACGTCTAAATTGCTACCTAAATAGAGAAAAATCCTAAGGGCCGGTTACTCAATGTCTGGTTAACACTAATCTCTGGTTAAACATCTTTATCGACGTTACCGACTCCCTGTTATATGAATGGAGTCGAACACGTCGATAACAATGTTTAACCGGACATTAGTGTTAACCAGACATTTAGTAACCGGCCCTTAATCACTGGAAAGTGTCGGTAACGCAGTGAATAAGAACAATTTAGATTTTCTGAGAATTGAATTCAATAGTTGAACTGTGTAAAAGCAGTCTAACTGCCAAATTTCCGTACTGAAAATTGATAGCACCAAGGTGAGTACAATAAGGTGGTGTTGGGGCAACAGTTAAATTTTTCGCCGTGGAAATCATAACGTCAAAATGATGTGTTTGTTGTAATTCATAAAGTTATTGTGCGTATAATTTGTTGTAATTTTTTACTTATATGCATCGAAGAGTTCCATAAGTAAAGTAACTCTTCTTACCTTTTTTCTTGACAGGCTGTAGGTGTGTTTTTGGTTAGTGTGTTGGTGTTTTTGGTTCAATGAGCTAAGCAAAAGGTACATAATTTTATTTGCTGCGGCGTTACGTTGATCCGTTGGTGCGTTGACGACATTGAAAAATTTGCTGTTACACACCTTGCGTCGTGGCGCTCATTGTTTTCTAAACAAAAAACAGCTGATAAGCATATCCACAAATGTAATTTCAAATGTCAACGCATGAACGCAACATAAAAGTAGTGAGTTGGTTTACTTTTGACAGCAACTACATTGATGCATTCGTAACGGCGTCGTCTGTAACAGCTGGCATATAAAGGCACATGTTCAATATTATTTGACATTAACGGCGTGACGCATTTGCCGGCGAACGCACATACCTTCGCTTTTAGTATCTTTTGAATAAATTGTAATAGAAATGGAAGAAATTATAATAGAAATTAAATAAATTGTAAAATTTAAGAGCAAATGCCAAAAAACAGGTGATCTCAGCTATAGACAATTGTCGGCAATCAGCTGATAATGTTTTTTACTTAGGAAACTGTACGATGCTTATATGTACACGGGTAACACCACCTTGTTAAATACGCTTTGCCTGGCACACTATGCGAACGATAAATAAAAAGTTAAACTTTGACCATTTTTCGAAGTTCGAATTATTTTCGAAGCTATAGTTACATATTAACTTCTTTCGAATAAGAACAAATTATCACAATCATTGTGGAGGAATACAAGTGAGATATCTTAGGGTTGACAGATAGTTGACAGGGTGTTCAATATGGCGATGACAGTGTGAACAATATGGCAGCCAATATGGCATACAACACCGAATGGCCCGAAGTTGCAAAACTATGACCCGAATGAAACGCTTCGTGGAAATCCAGGGTTGCGAAGTGGTATTTTGTTGGAAAATATAAAAGCCAGGATTTTGTGCAGCGCCGAATTTTAAAAAAAGAGGGTTTTGTGTTCTCAAGATGAACAGAAAAGGGTTGCTGTGCTGTTTCGTTTAAGTTTTAATCTTAAGGTATTTAATTGAATATGAAAAGGATAGAAAATTAAAGCAAAAATTTACAATATATGTACATATCTGAACATTTTAAATAAAATATATATATTCACGAGAGACAAATTAAATAAAATCGGTTAGCTTTAGGGGAAATATACTTATCAGATTGGGTCAGATAGCGCTTTTACGTTATAAATAAAAATAATTCCGACTTAAATTTTATATAATTTTGGTGACGTATTTCTAAGCTGACCCTGAGATCTGTGAAATAATACATATTTATGTGCATATATTGTGTTGATTATGCTCTAAATCTAAATATGTTAATACGGTTCTTGTGTAGGTATAAACAAGGTATATTAAAAAAAATACCTCTCCATGAAAAAAATATCGTTATTTTCGTATTTAAAATTAATCGTAATTTTATGGGGGGTTATAAAAACTCGTTTTACAGGTCTATTCTGCGCTGGTAATAAAAAGTTTGTAACCGGTAATTAAAGTGTCTGTAAATTTTTAAACCCTTTTCGCATTCTGTGTACTCTTGTAACCGGTAAATTTTGTTACCATCTCATAAGCTGGTAACAAAGTATTACCCCGTGAAATATGCAATGCCAGAATTTGCACAATTCAGAATAGCTGAATTGCTGAATATTTTAACTGCATTACCAACGTTCCTAGAATCGTGGTGACAAGAACTGGTAACATTTTTTGGTAATAAAATTTTCCGGTTACAAAATCTTCGGTAACGTGCAGAATAGACCTGTAAATCGAAACTTTGCTTTTCGGCTATATTTGTTATTGGCCCTTATTATGAGTTGCATTCGATTTTCGATCTTCGCTGGTTATCGAAGATCGAGAGTGAAATTCGTATTATGAGCTATGCAACCGTGTCGAAATTTTCTTTGAGTATCGAATTTTCTGTCGAACAGAATTTTGCTTTCGATGGGGTAGCGAAGTGTTAGAAAATTGTGAAAAATGTATGATTTTGCATTTGTTTTCTTACTTTTTGGCGGGTGGACACTAATTTTAAACAATTTTTTATCAATTTCACGCAGTTTTAACGTCGTGAATACAAAACACAAGCTCGAAAGGCTGCTTTTACTTGTGAAAGAAAATCCCAATACTCAGTTGGCACGATCTCTGAGAACAAATCATAGAGCTGTCGATAGTTTTAAAATATTTTAAATAGATTTGGCTCACAAACGCCTCTTTAGACAGTCGGAAGTTTTTAGTAAATCTGTAGACAAATTTCTTAAATATATTTTATGTCAAAATATATTGTAATGACTACACTTAAACTCTCTTGAACATTTACTACTCCTGGTCAGCTCACTAAACTCTCCTCCTCTGACGAATCGTTGAACCCCAGAACTTCGTTGTACTAATTTTTGCCACGTTTTTATAAACTTGCTTTATTTTTTATTTCATTTTAATTTGCACAAAGTTACATAAATATGTATAAGCACACTATTTAGTTTGCTCGATTTGTAAACAAAGCTTCTCAGCGGTGAAAAATATACTATTGTGAACAACATAAACGACCGAAGTTCACAATAGCGCTATTCTTCATCGAATGAGCGCCATAATACCAAATGAAAATTCAATCGATCAGCACTTTCGACCACAGTCGAAGATCGAATGTAACTCATAATAGGGGCCATTATT